AAGGGCGCACGGGAAGTCGCGCGACGGGAAGGTGAGTGGCGCGGGAGGGGAACGGGTCGAGATCGAGGGGGAGGGGTGATGAAGAAGAAGAAGAGGAAGAAGAAGGGGGAGATGACGACGAGGAGGGGGGAAGAGAAAACGAAGACGACGATGATAAGGAGGAAGAAGATATGAGGGGGAGAAGAAAGGAAAAGGAAAAAAAAAAAGAAAAAAAAGTTTGTTGAGGCTTACCTGCGCGTCGACGATGGCAGCGGCAGTGGGTACGAGGCATTGCTGACGATGACGTGGCAGCGACGACTGCGACGTCCATGGCGATGACGTGGCGACGATGACGGTGACGAGGTAACGATGATGTCGATGATGTGGCAACGACGACAACGAGGTCGGCGGCGACGAAGATAGGACAGGGCGGGAGGGAGGGCCGAAGCCGATCTGATACCAGTGTGACGGGGCTGAGGCAGAGCAGTGAGGTCGGGGAGAGAGAGGGAGGGAGTGAGAGCACACACACATACTCACTCAACTGAACATGGACTCGACACGACTCAACGGACGCAGACACAAAGTGGCAAAGTGGCGAAGTCGCAATCTTGGATTCCGAACATGATGTTGCATCAAGTCACACTGAAGCACAAGCACTGAGGCTGAAAACAAGATCCCCGAACTCAGCTTGAGTCCGGTCTTAAGTACCAGACTCAAGTTGAGTCGGAGGGCAAAAGTGCAATTTGCCACAGGGCTACACTGAAAATCGAAGGTCTGAGCCTAGGCGTCAGAATCTCGGATGGCGCCAAGTATCGAAATCCGAAAGTGTTAGAGGAGGGATTTGAGAACGGGCGCCAACAGTCAGGAACTGGAGATCAGAGACTCAAAAATACAGCCTGGCGGGTGGTAACCCGCGGACCAGGGATCGAGCCCTGTCTGAGTCCGTAACAACCCCAGTTTGTGACTGAGGTAAGATCTTTCTTGATGATGTGTGGTTATTACCGCAATTTTGTACAAAACTACAGTACGATCGCATCTCCCTTGACTGATCTAACGCTCCATGGGAATGGACAAACGCATGTGAGGCTGCTTTCAAGAGATTGAAGCATGCCCTCACACATCATGAGGTTCTCATGGTTCCCGGTCCTCAAAGGCCATTCGCAGTGACCACTGACGCAAGCCCGTACGGCATAGGCGCAGTCTTGGCTCAACAGGAAGGGAAAAAGTTAAGGTCGATCGAGTACATGCGCAAGAAAATGCCATTTAAGAAATTGATGAAGTCCACCTATGGAAGGGAACTCTACGCCCTCTACAAGGCACTTGTCCACTGGAGACACTATCTGTTGGGACGGTTCTTCTCTTTGAGAACTGACCATCAGACACTCAAGTGAATCAAGACACAACCTGTTCTCTCTGACGCACTCAAACGATGGATTGAAGTGATAGACCAGTATGACTTCGAGCTAGACTACGTGAAAGGGGAGTATAACAAGGTTGTTGATGCATTGTCACGTAGGGCAGACTACCTGGGTGCGCTGATTACTGAGTTTGGGTAAGACGTTGGTCCTCCGAAGCAAACATAATCATTAAGTGGTCAATCAAGCGACATCCTCAAGAGAAGGAGAAAGTAAGAAGAGAAAGAGGAAGAAGAAGAAAATAGGAAGAGGAAGAAGAAAAGCCACAGTAAGCCAGAGAAGCCAGAGAAGAGATCACACGTCCCAAATTTCCCGAAA